CTGGGGAATTCTGGGAGTTGAAGTCCACACATCTTAAAGTTGCCAAGATTGAGAAACCCTGGTTTAGTGTATGTATTAATGTTGCTTAAAATAAGAGTAAGTCATGTCGTCCCATTCCTGCTAAAAGGTCATAGCAAAACATGTCATATAAGAACCTCAAAATTTTGCCTGTTTCCATCATAACAGATGCAAGAAGTTATTTCTGCTTTTTCTGAGTGAAATTAAGCAACTGGTTCCCTCTCCCTTCGTCCCTTCAGCATTTAGGGAATGCTAATATATATCAGAATGTAATACATATATTACAAGGTACAGTACTAAGAAGAATTTTATGCTGTCCAACCTCATGACTGATTCAATACATTGTGAAATAATTTTTCACTTCCTGGGTAGACAACAGAGACTCCAGCATGCCGAATCCAGTCACACGTTGGAAAGCAAAAATGCACATTTGCCTTTCTGTAAAGTATTTAAGAGGACTAAGAACCAATCCCACGCCTAGGAAAACTTTCTCAACTACCCAGAAATTCAGGCCATTGAGCAGATTGGAAATATAACCTGTCAAACTGTTTCATGAGAACGGTACATTTGTTTTCAACATAAGAACCACCGATAAAAATGGCAGAGTATCACATCCTCAAAGAAGAATGCTCCCATTTAAAGAAAAATAGTAAAAGTGGTATTCAAGCTTGTGGGTGGTTCGGGGAAGGGACAGCTTCTCTTGGTGTGTGGTGCTGTATAAATGTGATGACAGGCCATCAACTCAGCGTTGACTCTAATTTAGAAAGCTCCAATTACCAGGATGGAAGCTGTATGATAAATAGAAAGTTTTTTTAATTTATTTTGCTTTTCTTCTTCCTCAAATATCCAGTGCATGGGGCAAAGGAGTTTAACTTTGTGCCAGAGATAGGCAGGCAGTAAGCTGTGATGATATGCATAACGTCATTTGTCCCCCTTGCAAAAGCTCACGATGTCATAAATCACCTCCAACCTCATCTCCCTATAAACAGTAGAAAGAGTTTAGTGGCCATTTTTTAAAACTTCTTTCTCCTACTATCCTGTTTCCCACCCAAATCAACAGATACTCCGCCACACAAATCCGCTGTGGGGTGCCATAGCTGCCCAGTGATTTTTAGTGGTACAAACTCACCTGTGGCTTAGAGCAGCTCGGCGTGCTACTCTGACCATATCTTCATTGCTAGCCTGCAAATTGCTGTTTCCAAAATGAGTCACATTTTCAAGCAAACAGAGACTGGAAGTCCTAACCATAGGCTCCACTTGTTTAACTGCAATTCAACATTATAGCTAACAATTGCACAGAAATAACTGGATACGATAACAAGAAATTATGAGGCATACAGATTGCAAGAATAAACCCACATGAGAAAGGAGCATTCAATATTGTAGGTTACAGAAACTGGATAACCCAAGTACAACATACGCTAGCAGATCCAATCTTTTTCCCCACGCTGGTACGAAATGTTCCCTTAGGAAAGCAGAAACTTGCTGCTATCTGTGGTGATGCATTGAAGCCTGCAAACTGCAAAAATTGAAGGCCAAATTGTATGTACAGGAATGCTTAGCTATGCAGGATATACGGTGGATGTCTCTTTTAACAGACATAAAATGCCACTAACCTAAATATCACTATATATGTAGCTATCCGTCCCTATTATTTTTGGGGGATTTTTTACTTTGTACCCCAGTTTTCCAGTTAAAAATGACACGAACCCAAGTTTTTCTCTTTTTTTGGCCCTAAAAAGGAAAAATGCAGGTCTTGTCTTTTCTTTTCTTTTCTTACAAAGGGGCAACACAACACTGGTCATTTGCCTGCCAAAAGATTCAATATGCTAGCTGACTGCAATACAGCTTTCATTTTAAAAAAACTGATTTCAGCCTTGCTACTGATGAAATGCAACAAGAAAAGATCACTCCGCATTTATCTCAGTTCATCAAAAGTCTATATTTTGTCAATTTCCCTTGCCCTATACTGGTTTTTATACAGCCAGCTTCATGTTTCAATGTACATTTCTATTTCACACACATACTGACTGACACTGTTGACAAACAGCCACCTTTATGCAGCGTGTCTTGCATGAAGACATCTTTTCCATATATATGCAGATAATATAACATGAGCCAGGTGTGCAAATCTCAATTGCAGGAAGTTCTTTCAATCAGTGCAAAGGATACCACCGCTGTAATCAAGAAGCTCATGACTCTGGTTACACAAGGACAGAGTTGTGAAGGGAAAGACCTGAAGACTTCCATGATGCTCCTGGCAAAACTCTGTGTAATTCACTACACAGAGAACACTATTCTTTCTGCTTTGAGCCCCACCTGTGCATACCTGGCACTCGCACGTGGTCATTGGCACGAGGAAACAACCCTTAAATTGTGGTCCGGATCTTTGGAATACTGAATATGCCTCTCAGAGCTATGCAGAATGCAAAATGAGGAAGCATCCGCTCGTTTGCCCAAAGAAATAAAAGGATAAATCAGTAACACAGAAAACCAAATTCCAAACTGTCCAGGCCACTGGAAATCTTTTTGGGTCAGTTTTTCAGAAATTACCCACTGTCATTTTATCATCTCCAATTAATCTATCCCACGGGCATTGAATATCTCAAATCTAAGTGGGTTCAAACATACACATGCCCCTTCAGTGATACAGTAAAATAATAGTAAGATCTTTAAAAGCCTTTAGCCCTCCAAATAGTGCAACCACTTGAGAGGAAACTCCTCAAAATTCTCTTTTTGCATCCTTCCTCCCCTCACTCCAATTACAGGGAGGCGTCACCTGTCTCAATTTCGTTCCTTAAGTCTAAACCAACCTGTACAGGACCCTCAGCAGCTGCCTCCTTTCTGCACCCTGGGAGATTAATGCCAGCTGGGCACAGTCTTCTTGACGCAGCTCTGCTCCTTAACAACCCCTCTTTCAACAGCCCTCAACGCTGCTGCTATGGGACGCTGATACAAACTCCGTTATACATGACAACTGACACACAGAAGCTGTTGCTAAGGTATGGTATTTTGTCCCCGGAATAAACAAGCACGGGAGAACACAGGGCTCAGTCTACGCACCGACATGATTTTTGAAAAGCACAGTGGCTTAGCTTGACTGAAAAACCTTCACCTTGCTGCAGGGCTAGTATCTCTGGAGGATTTCCCCCTTTTTCTTAACGGAAACAGGCAAAGGAAATGATTCAGTGTAATAAACCTTCAGGAGAGGCTGATCCCGTCAAATGTACAGTGCAAAAATGGTCTGGGCAACTATTTTAGAATGATAAAACAGCCAGCAAATAAAGTATTTCCCTCCCATACTCTCCCCCCACCCCCAATATTAAGAGAGTGACCTATTTTGAAGCTAGTATCACACAACATCAAGTTTGTTGATAACATTCTACGTTACTAGAAGGAAATAACACAGTATAGCGATTTTAGTAATTTGGAAACTCAGCAGCAATATTTGAATTGAACATGTTCATGAAGACTTTCCCAACCAATTAAAAAAGGGGTTTATCAATATTAACCTTTCTGCCACCTACTCAAGCGAGTCCAAGATTGCTCAAATCTTCCCAGGCGAAGGATTATTATTATTCCCCCCCCCCTTTTTTTTTGCTTTACAGTATATATTAATTAAGGAGAGGTAGCCTTTCAGAAAAATAGAGAAAGATTTGCCTGCTGCTAAAAAGTTTATCCAGCCTGCTTCTGTACACGTACGTAGCTTTGGATTCCAAAGGAGAAACATGCAACGATGCTCAATAGCACTTTCTGCAACTCTTGAAAGCAGCTGCTTAAAGCAGGGGTGACATAGCTGCCCTTCACTGACATTTAACCCCTTTGCAGCAGTTATACATTTGGGGTTCTGTGAAGACAAAGACAGTTTGGGTTCGGACCGTACCGTAATTTCAATCTTAGACTAAGGAAGAAACTTAAATGCTCATTAGTGTGAACACAGCCTTTCAGCAACTGAAAAGCCACAGAAAACTTACCTGAGATTCAGGCACGTTTCTTTATGTAACTTACAAAAGCCTGAATGCCACCCCAATCAAAGGACTCTGGGCAGCCCACCATCACAAAAATCCAACCCACAACAATAAAAATAATACCAAGCAATCAACAAATTAAAACACTACAATCTAGTAAAGGAACAGGAGCCCCAAACGTCATACCCTGCTCCTTAAGGGCTCAGGTCTTAACCAGATGCTGAAAAATTGAGAAGGCCAGACAAGGCCTAATGATGAACTTCTGATTACCCTTCTTTGCATACAGGGTGGGGAATCTTCAGCAGGCCTGCTAGTCTCACAGGTACAGATCAGGCGGATATCCACCACATGGAGGAGACAATCACGCAGAAAGCAGGGACCGTGGGCCATTAAGGCAGCGCCTGGAATGGGATCCAGAAGGAATTTGGCAACCCACCCAGCTCCCACTGTGAAGTTATTTTGCTGTACCCCATCAGCAGGCACCCAGTTGCATTTTGCACCCACTCTTGCTTCCGAATCATCTTCAAGGGCAGCCTCATGTAGAGCAAATGATAGTAGTCAAAGCAGAGATAAGATTATTCAGTAAACGATGGGTTAATATGTTGTGAGAATACAGCCAAAGCTTCAACCAGTGTTATAATCCTGCTTGGACCTCTCTTCTTTCCCATTTTAAGGTTCCATACTTAGCCTGCAGACTTTTGATGAACTCAACAAGCCTGCTTGCTCAAAATAACTCCTAAATAAAGATACAGAAGTAGGCTATTTTTTTTTAATTATTTGCACTGTATCAAATAACTAACTCTCACCAAGAAGTTTCACACTTGGACCCTGTGGCAGGGAATCCTACCTACTGCTAAACCATTTATTTAAACTAGTTGGGAGACTGGTTGGCTTAAGGACCTTTTGTGGAAAGAAATAAAAAGAAAAAAGAAAAAAGGTAGCAAGAATACACAGGAAGCCTGCAAATAGAAGACCCCATTTTTGGAGCTCCCACAAAATGCCACCCGTATTTCCATGGACCAATGCAAAATGAAAACTTTCTCTGAAAACACTCAAAGCTGAATGAGGAACTCCCCTGAGCATTAGCGAGTCTAGCCCGGAGGTGTGCAAATGTTGGCCTCTGTGTGCATGGAATGTAAATCTGATTTCAGTTTATTTATAATGAAATTGTCATTCATGTTCACTATTTACAGATGCATGACGTTAAAGTTTGCAGGGTATCCATAAGAGGTAAATCCCAGGGCCACGCAGTATTCAGGGAATTTAAAAAACAATATTGGGAGGTGGCAACTGCAAGTCGCTTCTCCCCATCACACTAAAAACTACAATAGGGGTTAACAATTTTGGGGTCTCCCGGGGTGACCTGTGAGCCTGGGCAGGATGGACCCCCCCCATCCAAATTGCTGCCCTCCGGGTGTGTCAGACAGGACTCCGGCTGTGGGAGTTGTAGTCGACAACTGGCAGGGCTCATGGCGGGCGATGGGAATTGCAGTCCAACACACTGGGAATGACAGCAGGGGATAATGGGACCTGCAGTCCAACACAGCCAAGGAAGGGCATGGGGGGTTTGCATTGGTGGCCCCGCCAGAAGAAGGGATGGTGATTAGCACATCTGGAGAGTAATGCTGGGAGTGCTGGCTGGGGATAATGGGATCTGCAGTCCAGCAAATAAAAGGGAGGGAGTCAACGGGAGCGGGCGCTGGCCTCGCCGGCAGGGCGCGGTCAATTAACGCATCTGCAAGACTCTGGGCTGAGCAATGCTGGGCATGCTGGCTGCGGATAATGGGACCTGCAGTCCAACAAGCTGCAAGGGGTGGGGAGCGACAGAGGTTGCAGGCTGTCCCGCCGGGAGGGCGTAACCAGGCTGGCTG